CCCAGAACCCGCTTTGCGCCGCGTTTCCATCGAAACCGGGTCCCTCGGTTAGTGACTGGGCACCGTACGGTTAATCGCCTCAAGGTCTTGTTTTTCAGCCCCGGAATCTGAAATTAATCCGTGCGATGTTATTTATCCCCCCAAACTACGTGACTTAGCTGGGTACTAAGGTATTTTGGAAGAGATCGTGCTTTCTGTCTCACGTGACTTAAAATGAAAGAGAGAATTACGTGTTTAACTTAAAGGCAGTTGGGAAAACGCTTACACAAAGTGTACGTTAACCACCAACAGGACAGGTAGTCATTTAGTGTGTAATGCTAAATATAAATGCTAGTGCATTTATAATTCAATAAATTACAGCGTTGCTTCTTTCAGGTGTCTGGGAGCCATGTGCGTAACCAGTACAGAGCATCAGGTTCTTTGCCAGAGGAAAAAAAAGAGTTTCTGCAAAGCGGACCAGACTTACAAGACTTTGTATCTGGAGACTTGTCGGACAAGGGCGCGTGGGCCGAGTACAAAGGCAATTTAAAGCGTCAGAAAGGAGAAAGGTGGTTGTGATTTTACACAAGTGCGGTTGCTTCCATGCACTATCATCTTGCATGTTTAGTATTCACTATAAAATGTATACAATGTATTTTTATTAAATTCTGTCGTACTGGCTTGCCGATTCCATAATTTTTCAAGAAAGAACAAACACATTATTAACTTCAAATGCGTAACAAAACATGAAGACATGGTGGTGGTTTCTCACTTGAGTGCCTGTGCCGTGGCCTGTACTAAATTACAAATATACATCAGTAGGTGAGTGTTCCCGACTTTGGTGTTGAAAAAATATTATTGATAGAGGAAAACAAAAAATGAAGACTAAATTAAAAAATGCTTAAACCCCCCCATACTTCCAGTTACAAATTTGATCAGACTTTGTGATAGGTGTGTGACATACGCTGCCGTTAACAACTGTTGCAGTCTCCAGTGTGGCACTGTTAAACCCCACCGGTACAGTTGACCGTTTTAAACCTTGCAATGACAACAAACTCCTACTCTTGAATGTTGGGATGATGATAAACGTGGAAGAGAGAAGTCCGTTATGACCATGAATGATGCTAATCTTGGTTGCTGAATTGCGTCAGTTTTCAAGCAACCTTTCCTAGTTGGGATCTGTAACAAATTAAAGTGGGTCTATGAAATTAATGGAAGCTTATCATGTAAATATTATACTAATCTTTATGTTTGCTTGATGTTGTTCAGGCTGCGACTTCCTCCATGGCTGAAAACAAGGATTCCCATGGGAAAGAACTACAATAAACTGAAGAATACCTTGAGAAGTTTAAATCTTCACACGGTAAATCTAGTACTAACCGAGTTTTCCTGTAGAAATAAGGCATTTTTTACAGATCAAAAATTATTTCTCTGTGGAGGACAGGTAGAAATAATGTCTTGCATGATTTTCAATGCTGAAACCAAGCCGAATGCTGATCCTTTTTGCCAGCAGTGAATCTTACCCGTAAAGAATGAAGACAGATCCAGTAGAGCATTTCATGTTTTTCCTGCTGTGATTTTAAATACTAGGATTTACTACTTGCATCACCAAAGAGATCAGAAGGTGCTATGTGTGACTGTTTTTAATGGAAACACGCACAATTTCAGAGTTCCGTACATGTTTTGCATGTAAAGAAATTCTAGAAATACATGTATTTCATTAAATACACCTTCCAGATGGTAAGAAGTGGTGGGTACGCATGGAGAGCTTTTTTCCTTTTTTTTTTCCCAGGGTAAGATTGTGCTTTGGTGCATCATAGACTTTGTGAACATTTTATCAATTTTTAAATGTAAAATGTTAATGACTGTCTGTGCTAATTAATAAGGCAGTTACGTGGTGGAGGAGATTTTGGAGTTGTGAAGTACAGGAAAAGAACGGTAATGCACGTCGGGAAACAATTCTCTTCCCAGCTGTTCTGCTGACTTCTTATAGAACAATACGCAACTCTGTTAATCTCCCCATTTATCGCAGAAGGAATTACGTTTTGTTTGTAGGCTACTATTGAAATTGATCAATAATATAATCATAATCTTCAATAACAACATTGAAAAAAGACAGGTACGTTACTGTCTTTTAACTTCAGGTATGTGAAGAAGCACGTTGTCCCAACATTGGAGAATGCTGGGGAGGTGGTGAATATGCTACAGCTACAGCTACTATTATGGTAAGCCATTAACCGTTCCGTAAGTACTCTGTCAGTGTTTGAGCCATTGTAGCGTATTGTTGGATCTCGACTGTAGTGGTGCGGGTTTATTACAAGAAACTTAGAGTAAATCACTGTCCTCGTTGTGTTGCTTAGTAGTGGGATTTATCTGATCTAGCTTATGCGGCTGTCTCTCAGCTGAGCAACAGTGATGTGTACAATGTAAAGGTAGGATTGTCTTTCTTATTTCAGCTGATGGGTGACACATGCACTAGAGGTTGCAGATTTTGTTCAGTAAAGACAGCAAAAAATCCACCTCCACTGGATCCCAAGGAGCCTTACAACACAGCAAAGGCTATAGCTGAGTGGGGCTTGGATTATGTTGTATTGACGTCCGTGGACAGAGACGGTTAGTATGTCGTCTCTCAACTCTTCCCGTCTAAGCTGTCATATGGGTTACACGGGGTAAGCGCAGGCCTCGATAAGCGTTTATCGCTCAGCGCAATTGTTGGGGATTACTATTTTAAAGGAGTGGACACTGCTGAAACTTTGGAAAGTTTCTACATATTCTTAGTATTTCTCTGTCTGGTAAAATATAACAGAAGTTACGCTGTTATTAAACATGGAGGCTATTACTAAATATTTTATAACTAATTTTTTGCAAAATACATACATATACACCATGTTCTATTGCTTGATTAGCCAAAAAACCCCCCACATTCGTTCATATACAATACCAGTACAGAGCTTCCTTCCGAAAACTAAACCTGGAATATATTCTGTGTAACAAAACTGAAAGTTGCCTTTTTCTACGGTTGTAGTAGCTCCTTTGTGATGACACCACATAGGTGGGGAAAACCATTGTAAAGACTGTTCAGTATACTTTGGTGGAAGGTCCAGTAGCTTCAAAGTGGCTTGCAACAGAAGAGCGATAACATACATATTTAAATTTTTGTAGAACTGTTTCTCAGACCAAAACCGTAAATAGGTAAAGCCATTCAGTGCTCAGGCTGACAGTGGACCTAGAGACAGGTAAATTTGGAGTGAGCACCTGAATTCTGCCCTAGATGATCGCAGTTAGACGTTGTGCAGAGCAAGGCTTGGTAGAGTATCTGTTGTAAACCTTTGGCATAAGCGGCAAGATAAGACTGGGGTTTGACTGCTTTGTTAGTTTGCATTTAAATTTGACTCTGTAGGTTTTTTGTGGCTTTGCTGATAAGTAAATACATTTCCTGAACTGAAAAGTTAACTGAATAATTGAAATGCTTCTAGATATGCCTGACGGTGGAGCAGAACACTTTGCAAAGACAGTCTCTCATCTGAAAGAAAGGTATCTCATTGAAGTATTATTATTAAAACTTTAGAATGTGGTACTGCGTATAGGTCAAAATTACCTTCAGCTGGATTATTCCAGGGGCCGTGCAAATACAAAAGTCTGCCTTTAGCCTACCTGTGTCCCTTTTTTTTCCCCTGTTTTTCATCTTTCTCATATAATGGCCCCAAAGTATCTTGAGTTTGGATGCATTTCCAATTTAGCCCAGGCTTATTTAAAGCTAAGCACTGGATTATTTCTTTGACCGTGCAGCTGGTTTACCAGGAGGTGAGTACATGCTTTTGAGGTATGTTCATTCTTGAAGCCTGGGGCTCAAACACTGGATTTAGATAACGGCGTCACCACACTACAAAAAAAGTGGCGTTTCTCTTTCAGCAGCGATCAGATTGCTTTGTGTTTTCCCACAGTGGCTGTTTCTGACTCTGTGATTGTACCTTCCTACTTTCCCTAGCCGTGCCTTCTTCACTCTGCGTTGGTGCGCT